GGCACGCCCGGGAAGGGGGCCGTGGCCCCCTCCCACTGCCTGCCAAAACACAAGAGCCGGTTGGTGGAGACCCGCGTGTATCAAGTGTCTTGGAAACCCCATGCATCAAAAGGCTTGAAGACCTCCACGGATCAAAAGTCTTGAAGACCTCCATGCATCTAGGATCTTGAAGAACTCTGTGCATCAAGGATCTTGGAGACTCCCGTGCACCAAGGGTCTTGGAAACCCCATGCATCAAAAGTCTTGAAGACCTCCATGCATCGAAAGTCTTGGAGACCCCTGTGCATTAAGGGTCTTGGAGAACTCTGTGCATCAAGGATCTTGGAGACCTCTGTGCATCAACGGTCTTGGAGACCCCCATGCATCAAGGGTCTTGGAGAACCTCCATGCACCAAAGGTCTTGGAGACCCCCGTGCATCAAGGGTCTTGGAGACCCCCGTGCATCAAGGGTCTTGGAGACCCCTGTGCATCAAGGGTCTTGGAGAACCTCTGTGCACCAAGCAACTTTGAGACCCTCCATACATCAAGCATCTTGGAGACCCTTGCGCATCAAGCGCCCTGAAGACTGCCACGCATCAAGCATCTTGGAGTCTGCTGTGCATCAAGCACTCTGAAGACCCCTATGCATCAAGCATTTTGGAAGCCCCTGTGTGTCAAGCATTTTGGAGATGTTGGCACGTCCAGCAGTACCAGCACAAGGACTACCACATCAGAAAGGACTCAAATCTTCCCAACACTGAACATGACTCCAAGCTAAAGATGGCCCCAGGACCCCTCAGGACCAAGGCGATGGGAAACTAGCAGGGTGGAGAGGACTGACGGGCTGCCGGGGGCTGAGTTCCACCATGAACCAACAGCACTGAGGGCTTTGCTCGGCGTAGAGAACTGGGAATGCTCACCATGTTGAGGAGCTCCTGGAGCAGGCGTTGGGTGGGCTGGCCTTGGCTCCTCAACACCTCGTAGAGGTGGGCATAGCCGATGCGCTCCTTGAACACCTCCTGCAAGCACCCGGGCATGTGGGACCCCGCACCGAGCCCCACCACGTGCTGCTTTCACCCCAGCCCACCTTGCAAGGGGAAAACCCCCAAACCCATCCGCTTTCGGGGTGCCCCCCCCGCCTCTGGTCTGCTGCCCACCTTGGCTGAGGGCGAGTTGCTCATGATGGCGGTGAGCACTCTGACAGCATGGACCGCGATGGCATCGGAGCTGCCGTCAAAAACCTATGGTGACATGGGGATGGTGGGTCCACCATTAGGTTGGGGGGACACAGCCCACCACACCCAGTGGTTTGGTTACGGGGTAGCCCCACACGATACCTGCTGGAGCCCATCCCCATCCGGTGGCTGCGCGGGGACCTGGTCCTGAGCTTCACCCACCTCCCGCGAGCTGCTGAGGTAGAGCTGTGGGACACAGGGTGTGTGTCAGCCCTGGGGAACGGCACCCGGTACAGGGCGGGAGGAAGAGGGAAGGGGTTATGGAGGGTCCCCACCCTGGGAATGCTGCTGCACTGCGGCCACCCCACCCCAGCATTGTTTAGAGCCAGGAAGGGTGAGGATGGAGATGAGGGTGCCCAAGGTGCCCAACCCTGGTGTCACCAAGGGGGAACACCAAGGTGGCCACCCTGGTACCTTGCTGTTCTGGAGGAGGCGGATGATGTGCTCAAAGCAGTTGTTGCTGAGAAACACAGCTTGGAGGACCGGCCGGTCCTCGCAGCTCAGCATGGCCGGGATGGCATCTACGGCGAGGTGGAGACAGCTCAGCACCCACCCCGCGTCCCCATCCCCATCCCCGTCCCCCAACCACCTACCCAGCATGAGGACACGGAGAGCGATGAGGCCACCGGCCGCCTCCGGCGCCAAGGAAGCCACGGGCAGATCCGAATTGAGCACCCCG